GTCAGAGAAGAAGAGGAAGACCCCCAATGAGATGGATCAGTCAGGTGGCATCATTGATGGACTCAGGTGTGGCGGCGGTAGTGAGGTTGGCCCAGGATCGAACATTGTTTTGTTCTGCTGTGCATGGGGTCACTATGAGTCGGTTCCGACTCGATGGCACCTGATAACAACAACAACATCAGTCCTATGATAATAAGTACTATCCATTTTTCAATGAAGAAACAGCAGCCTAAAGATTAAGTCACTTGGATAGATCACACAAACCAGGAAGTAGAAAATTTGGGACTTCTGTTTTGTTTTCTAAATTTTCTCTAATTTGTGTGTATTATTTACATGATCCGAAACAAAATTAACTACGTTTTCTGTGCTCGCTGGTAGGATTTATTCATTTGAACCACTGATACCCTAAATTAGCTCTGCATCGTCACAGAAGCATGGGACTTGAATGAAATTAGACCAAGAATTTAAACAATTATAATATGCTCTGTGGTTTCGATTCTAACAAGGAATTTTTTTTTTTAACATGGAGATCAAGGGAGTAGATAAATAGACCTTATCATAGAAGGCCACACTAATGTTACTGAGTGAATAATGTATGTGTGTACCGCTTCTCTCACTCACAGATACACACACATATATCTGTGAAATAGGGAGCAAGAATGTGTGAAGAATTGGGTCACAAGCAAGAATCTATGCAAGAGGAAAGGGCCTCAGAAACTTGTTGAATGAATTGGGCCCTTCCATGTATGTTAGTAGAAGAACAGAAGAGGAATAAAATAGTTTCTCTAATCCCCGATAAAGTGGGAACATTTCTCTTAAGATATAGCTCTTCTTAATCTTTTCTTCATATTTTCACTTTTTTAAACCCTGTGAATATTAAAAAAAAGCAAAACACTAAAATAAATACAGAGAAAAACTGTTGACTGATGGTACATGGTAGGGATTGTGGTCATTGTAATGAAACAAAGTATAAGGTTTGTTGAATGTAAAACTGATGATCTGCCCTGTAAACTTTCACTTCAATTCATAATAAAAACTTTAAGGAAAAAAAAACACAAAAAAACCCTGTGAATATAGTTGAAAATTTTTCTGTATTCTTTTGCCCACTGATCTAGGTAATATTATTGCTTTTAGTCATAAAACTTTCTGTAACCAAGTGTAACAAAAACACAAACCAAACCAAAACCACTGTCATATAGGGTTTGCAAGGCTGTAAATCTTTATGGGAGCAAAAAACCTCATCTTTCTCCCATGGAGTGGCTGCTGGGTTTAAATTTATCTTTGTGGTTAGTAGTCCAGTGCTTACCCCACTGTGCCACCAGGACAGCCAAGTATAATATAAAGGCATTGTTTTTCTGTCCCTGTTCATTAATAGCATCTTCAATCCTGAGTAGGGTGTCTGTCTTAGTTTTAGCACTGAAAGGCTTGCATCCTGGGAAATTGCTTGGTTCTGGGCAAACCAGCACAGTAGGTCATTCTAGTGTTGAATGTGAATATTACAATCTCAGGATAGGGGTTGGAGAAGGGCATGTAGAAACCAATGGGAATGAGAAGTACTGAGGAATGAAGAGAACATTTTTTTCCCTTCTGAGGGATGTTTATTACTAAGAAAATGTGAAGATTGGTAATCTAGTATCTGTATGGTTGGTAGTGGGTTAGTGGCTGCTGCATTCAAATGCGTATTAATTGGACCTCTGGGTTTGGACCTGCATTTTTCAGCACACATACTAAAAGACATGTTGGGAAATACAGGAATGCCATAATGATACTGAGCTCTTTTAAAACATGGAAGCACATTCTGCTTCCACTGGAGGCTTTTGCTTTTAAGGTAAATGCTTCTTGCTGTGGTTAACGTTAATTTAGCAAGTCAGGATGTGAATATTTTTCTTTTCAAATATAGAGCATTTATATAATTGTAGACTGTTCTAAATATTTGTTGATACCTATGTTGTTAAGTGCTGTTGAGTAAGTTATGCATCTTACCTGTATAGGGTATCTGAGAATTGGTTTGTACCACCAATCTTGCAATTAAAACCAACCTTACAATTCAGTGCTTATCCTACAGTGCCAAACCAGGACTCTGTTGACTGACACCTATGGTTAATATTTATGAGTAAGACTTTCTGCATGGTGACTGATAAATGACATTTGGTTTTATTTTTGCCAATGTTCCTCAGCAAGCTTATCTCTCTTCTCTTGTTCTTGTACTTGGTGTTTTACTCTACAGAGAGGTATGGGAAATGGAACTAGATAGACTCAAGAATCAAGATGGCGAAATAAATCGGAACATTATGGAAGAGTCAGAAAGGGCCTGGAAAGCAGAGGTGAGAACATGAACTGATAACTTGGAAAGCCTTGATTTTAAACTTTCAGGTGAAAATAATTTTAATAGAATATTACAAGAACCACTAAGCATTTAACTGTTTATGGGTAGCTTTGTGTATATAAAAGTCAATAAATGTATGTGTTTATTTATAATGTCCTCAGATCTTATCACTAGAGAGCCGGAAAGAGTTGCTGGTATTGAAATTAGAAGAAGCAGAAAAGGAGGCAGAGCTACACCTTACTTACCTCAAGTAAGTACATTCCCATTCTCAGGTTTTAATGATCCCTCAGGGTTTTGTGTTTGTTTCATTTTGTTTTGATGTTTTTGTAAAACGCAGGCCGACAAGCCTGACACTGACTCTGTCTTCATAAGGGCCACCTCTGTCTATAGAATAGTAACTGCTCATTGATTTCTCTTCACATAGTCTCCATTTCCTTACTCTCTAAATCTTCCCTTTTATTGTTTTGTACCTTCTACTATATTATTCCCTTTCGGAAAAATGGCATATGTTATGTACTCAAAGCATAACAGAAGCCTTTGGAGATTAAGTGTCTTCTATAAGGGAACTTCAGAAAGTTCATGGAAAATGGAATTAAAAGATAATGGAATTTTTCCGTGAACTCTTTGAAGCCCCCTAATATGTATAATATGTAGGTAGTCCCTGTCTTACCACATATTTAAGTTACAACAGACTGTCTTTCTTCTTCATTTTTTTTTTCCTTTTTTTGTTCCATCTTAATGTTAGTAATTTGCAGTGTTGCTGCATGTAATTTGCTGATATTATCATTCTAATGCCTAATCCCCAAAGGTAAAGATCAGTTTAAAAACTATAGTCATTATAAAAGGTATAATAAAAAAATTTTTTTTTTTAAATGAGGTATTCAACTTAACATCAGAACTGACTTACGGCAGAGTCATCAACAGAACTGATGTAAGTCAGGGACTGCCCGGAGTTACATTGGAATATGGAGGACCCTGGCATTTTTAGACAGACTAGAGCCCTCTTGTTGTGGGTCCTCTTCTTGAATACTTGGCTTACAGAGTGATGGAGTTAAAGTGAGGCAAAGGACTTAGAATCTTTGGCATTCTTCTGTATCTGCTCATACCTCTTCTTGTTAAGGCCCGTTAGCCAGCTACAGTTTTTTTTATCTCATAGAATTAGGGATAGCGCTTTCTCTTATTCTGTGAATTCTTGTTGCTTTCTTGGAAGGTCAACTCCCCCAACACTAGAGACAGTTCGATCCAAACAGGAATGGGAGACAAGACTAAATGGGGTTCGGATCATGAAAAAGAATGTTCGGGTAAGTGTAATAATAAGAGATCATTTTGTCAGTGTTATTTTGTGCTTCAACACATCTAATGAGAGACAAGTGCCCTTCTGCATTGCCACTGAGGGACCATCTTCCCATTCCCCTGTTTTCCCAAGAATAGATGGTGCTCTTTTTCTGAAGCATCTGTCTCAGCTCAGAAGGATGGGATAATCCTTTCTTTTCTCTCTTCTAGGACCAGTTTAATAGTCATATCCAGTTAGTGAGGAACGGAGCCAAGCTGAGCAGCCTTCCTCAGATCCCTACTCCCACCTTGCCTCCACCCCCATCTGAGGTAAGAGAGTGAATTTTGTCTTGTGTTGGTGGCAGAGCCAGAGTCTGACAACTGTTCTTATGAAGATACAGGGGTCTTCCTTATGCAATGCAAAAATTGCTCATTGATTTCTGCTCTAGTTTCCTAAACTTGATTTTTCTTCCTTTCTCTCTTACCGTATACCTCTTCCCCTCTGCAGACAGACTTCATGCTTCAGATGTTTCAGCCCAACCCCTCTCTGCCTCCTCGGATGCCCTTCTCCATTGGGCAGGTCACGATGCCCATGGTTATGCCCAGTGCAGATCCCCGTTCCTTGTCTTTCCCACTCCTGAGCCCTGCCCTTTCCCAGCCCAACCAACCTTCCCCGCCCCTTCCTGGCTCCCATGGGAGAAATAGCCCTGGCTTAGGTTCTCTCGTTGGCCCCCATGGTCCACACATGCCCCCTGCTGCCTCCATCCCGCCTCCCCCAGGCTTGGGCGGTGTTAAGGCTTCTACTGAAACTCCCCGGCCCCAGCCCGTAGACAAGCTGGAGAAGATCCTGGACAAGCTGCTGGCTCGGTTCCCACACTGTAATAAGTAAGTATATTTGAGGATTCATTAAAAATATATATATTTGTCAGAGAAATTTTATGAGTTTAAAATAGGGCAGGTTTTATGGGTGTATTTCCGGATATAGCATTAAAACCTTTCTTCCTAAACATTTTTCTTCCTTAGGGCCCAGATGACCAACATTCTTCAGCAAATCAAGACAGCACGTACCACGATGGCAGGCCTGACCATGGAGGAGCTGATCCAGTTGGTGGCTGCTCGACTGGCAGAACATGAGCGTGTGGCAGCAAGTACCCAGGTAAGAAAGCTCCTTGTAGGAGAACTCAGCCTTGCTAGGACGTTGGGGAAGAGGCAGATTTCAGAAAAACTTAGGGAGGGAACAAGAGTACCCAGTCTGCTTGCTTTCATTGCTGGACTGGAAATTAAAAGATTTATTTTTATCATATGCTCAACTACACAGACTTTCTTCTCTTAACACTGATACTGTTTCTGCCCACAGCCACTTGGTCGGATTCGAGCCTTGTTCCCTGCTCCACTGGCCCAAATCAGTACCCCAATGTTTTTGCCTCCTGCCCAAGTTTCATATCCTGGAAGGTCTTCACATGTAAGACTCTTTTCTTTGAAAACTGGGATATGGAGAAGCTGGGGTGAGTGGGGATTGATTGGGTTTGCAGACGAAGTACAGAAAGAAACCATCATCTCATCAGCTGACTTGTATGCAGACCCAACTGAGAAATGCAAGTATTTATGCAAGAATATATAAATGAACGTTCATTTCTGTTGGTGGTGGTGTTTTTAAACTGTGGTGGGCCATTTTCACCATTTTTAAGGGTACAATTCAGTGACACACATTACATTTACCATGCTGTGCTAACATTACTACTGTCCATTTCTAAAACGTCGTTATCCCCCTAAAACAATTAGGTACTCCTTCAACGATAGCACCCATTCCCTCTTTTCCACAGTCTCTGCTACCTTTTGCCTGTTCTAGATATTTTATATAAGTGGTTCATACAGTATCTGTTCTTCTGTGTCTGATTTACTTCATTCAGCATGGTGTTTTCAAGGATCATCCATGTTGTAGCATTTGTCAAAAACCCATCTCCCTATAGCTGAATAATTCTCCATTGTATGTGTATAGCACATTTGGTTTGTTCATTCACCCGTTGATGGCCTCTTGACTATTGTGAACAATGCTGCATTGAACATAGGTGTACACATACATGTTTTGAGTCCCTGTTCTCAAGTCTGTTGGGTCTATGTCTAGGAGTAGAATTGCTGGATCATACAGTAATTCTGTTTAACTCCAAGGAACCACCAAACTGCTTTTCACAGCAGTTGCCTTATTTATCATTCCCAACAGCAATGCACAAGAGCTTCAGTTTCTCCACATCCTTGCCAACATGTTTCTTTTTTTCTATTAACAGTCCGCCCTGAGTGTGAGGTGCTATCGCATTGTGGTTTTGATGGTTTGTTTATAAAATCTTCTTGCTGAATGGAAATAGTAGTTGGATTCATGGCATAGTAGGAGACAAAGAGACTCAGAAGTGACTTATCCTTTTGATAATGCTTTCTGTGTTCTGCAGGCTCCAGCCACCTGTAAGTTGTGTTTAATGTGCCAGAAACTCGTACAACCCAGTGAGCTACATCCAATGGCGTGTACCCATGTATTGCACAAAGAGGTGGGTACCACACTACTTTCCATTCTTTCTGTTAGCTAAGAGTTTTTCTTGAACAATATACTGTGTTGATGTTCATCATTAATATCTAAACATATGGTTTATAATAAAGTATAGCCTAAACATCAGTAGTACCCAGAATACTGGCAACTAGGATCTCCCAGCTCCCACTTACTCCATTCCCTTCAGGGGACTGAACAAGCAGTTCATACTAGACACGGATAGGCCCCTTTCTTGGAAAATTGACAATAAAAGATAATCCCATTTATCTAAACCTTGTTTCAAATGTAGCATGTGTCAGAGACTTTTCTTAGATGAGAGGAATGGAATATGAGACGCTGACTCTGAGATTAGGAACTCGGTAAGAAGATAGCGTGAAAGCTGCCTAATAGAGATTATCCTCATAACTTGACAAGTCATTCCAATCTCTTCTTGTGTTACCAGGCAGAGTTGAACCGCTTAGCAGCAGAGATGATGCCTTCTTTATTGGTTTGTTTCATTTTGGTTTTCCAAGAGATAGAAACGGAATCTAAATCTTGATTCCTGGCAAGAGAAATTGTTGAATAAGATTTGAGTGATATTAGGAGATAGAAGCTCATTTAAACCTAAATGGGAGCAAGCCACACTAGATACTTTAAAAAAAAAAAAAAAAAAGCATCTTCACACTGTTACTCGAGTCGTGGTGTGGTGCTGTAAGATAAGCACTCAACACAAGGCCAGTTTGAACCGCAAGGCTGGCAGTTCAGATTCACCAGACATTCCTCAGAAACCATATATAGGGTCAGTGTGATTCAGAAGCGCCTCCACGGCACACAACAATAGCATTGTTCCCTGTAAAAGAACAGGTTTTTGCCTGTTTTGAAGAATTCTTTGGAGAGCAGTGAAGTAGTCCAATAGCCCTACTATTCCCCCATGGGAATGGCTTTTCCAACTTAGCTTACTTTTCTTGGAGGGTGCTGTGACACTGTAGGATAAGCACTGGACTACTAACCACAGGGTTGGGAGTTCAAATACACCAGCCATCTGTAGGAGAAAGATGAGACTTTCTGTTCCTGTAAACATTTACAGCCTCAAAAACCATATAACAACAATGACAACATACATTCCTTAGACCTTGTTGAACCTTAATTACACTCTTTCCCCTTCCTTCCCTCCATTTTCCCATATAAACCTGAGTCGTGTCTTTCTTTCTTTTCAGTGTATCAAATTCTGGGCCCAGACCAACACAAATGACACTTGTCCATTTTGTCCAACTCTTAAATGATGGGCCTGACTGGGGAGGAAGAAGAGGAGACACTGATGTGAACAGGAAGGAGCGGGTTCAAGATTTCTAAAACTCTATATTTATACAGTGACATATACTCATGCCATGTACATTTTTATTATATAGGTAATGTGTGTATAGGAAGTCTGTATTCAGATGTCCGTCAATGAAAGTATGTATATAATGCAGAAATGGTCTGTTCCCCCTCATCTTGCAGTTCCTTGTGGGAAACAGATTGTAGGGAAGATGGTGGTTAGTTTGGCATTGAAATAGTGATGCTTCTGCCTAGGGGAGTTTTCAAATACAACATAAAAACCATCTAGGAAGCTGCTGTTGCTCTAAGGCCATCCTGCTTTGATTTGGCTCAGCCTCTAGTCCATTTTCCTTCGGCTCTTGTCTGCAGGTTTGAACCCTGGTGCTCACCCGCTGTCCACCCACATGCCTTGCTTACTGAAAGCCTCAGGAAGCCTGAGTGTTGTTCTAGCCACTCTACAGATAAAAGTGAGACTGAGTGAGGAAAAACAAACGTAACCCTAATGGTTTGACTTATCATTGAATATTTTACTGTGTTACCGCTCATTATTTGTACATAGACATTAGGTTTACAGAATGTTCTGCTTTACATCAGAAAAATTCACAGTCCAAGAATAACAACATAATCAGGTCTCATTTTCCCCACACCCTCCCCCCCCATAATCTTCTGTCCACCCTCTCCTGGATACAGTCATATGTTCAGAAACTGGCACAACCCACAGGGTTTTCCTGGGCCAAGCCATCCCTTGCTGCCACTGACTTGGTGTCTACTCAAGCTCTGACAGACCACTTGTGAGCCCTCCCCTCTTCCCTTCCACTCTGGTCTCCTCGGCTAGCTAGGCCCCTCCCCGCCGAAGGTTAAGGCAGTTGGTTCACATCCAAGTTGTTTGGTGACCTTGGGTGAGCTCCAGACAGGCACTGGGGTGAGGAGATGTCTGTGCAAAATTACTTACAGAATGATCTTGGAATGCTGGGTTTTAATTTTAGAAACAAGAAAGCAATGGGGGACGTGTTTCCTGCCCTGGGAAAAATGGAGACCAGAGTGATACGAAGAAGGGCGATTGGGCTTCAGGTTCATGAATTCTTTGCTCTGTAGCTGTCTGGAACGAGATAATTTTTCTACCGAAGCTTATGGAACCCTTCTGGTTTTTAGGGTTCCTACCTGGGAAAGTTGTGACGCTGCTAGAACTCTGAATCTTTTCCTCTCCTTTTGATTTTCATTCCTACCAAAAATGGCTTCAGCACCCTTCCCATTTGGAATTAATCAAGTAAAAACTTGTGTTGATTTGAAAAAAAAAAAGGTTCCAGGGAAGGACATCATTATATTACTAAAAGCTGAATTCCCCTTTGTGGCACCTGGAAATGCTTTTCACACTGGTGTTACACATCAGGGTAGCAAAGACGTTTCTAAATTCTCATGTTGGTTCTAACTTTCATCCTTGCCTATCAGTTTGTGGATGATGCATTCTTTCTTTTCTCTTACTCTGCCTTACTTGCCCAGGTGCATTGACTAAACTACCATCAGCTTAAGAAGCTGAACTTGTTGGGTCTTCCTTGGCATCTTGCAGAGGGATTGAAATAGCCGGTGTGCTACATGGCTATAGAGGTCAGGAGTGCCATAGTCTCTGGTGAATGGAATATGCCTGTCTCCAGTTGGGTAGCTGTCATGAACAGGAAATGTGGCAAAATGGAAGACCCGTTCCTTTGTTCTTTTCATTTTGGGCAGCGGTTCATTTTTATTATCATGTAATCTAATGGTCTGTATCCCCTCGAGTTTGCAGTAGCTTTTAGGCCACCTGAGATACTTTTAGTATTCTCCTGAATGTTTGAAACTTTTAGATGGGTGTGAAGAATGTTTTGTTTTCCAAAAATCTTTGAAGTCATAGGAGTAGATACAGGAAAAAGTAGCAGGGGCATTAGGGGACCCCAACTGCTTCCTAATCAAAGTCCCTGAAAACCAACTGCAGCAGGGGGACAAGTGCTTTGGAGGTTTATGCATAGGAGCTGGGGCAAGTGCTTTGGAGGTTTATGCAGGGGAGCTGGGGCCTCTTTCTTGTTTTAGGAGAAATTAGAAAACACGTCTGTTTTAGTCACCCTTGTTTGCCCATCCCCTTTCTCCACTGTCCTGCAATGGTAAAGAACCAGGCAAGGCCAATGGGAAAGGCCCCAACAAGGTGAGGGGACATGGGAAGGTAATTTTTCAGAAGTAGAATTTAAAAATAGAGATATATAATACATATTTTTACAAGCAATAAGCCACTGTCAAGTTTTTTTTGTTGTTCTTTTAAACACCTAAAGCTCATAGTTTCAGGGCAGAGAGGAAATAACTATAAAAAGAAAAGATAAGAACAAGCTGTTTTCTCTTAGAAAGAAAATACCAGGACAGTGGGACTAATAAAAGGATTGAGTTTTATGCCCTGCAAAGAGCTGGGGAAAAGCCAGTTTTCCCCAACATGGGAAGAAATTATAAAGCAGAATGTGGCATTTTCGTTTCACTGTAGCGATCCTGGAAGTTTATTTACACAGTAAGTTCCGAGCTGGAAGTGGACAGCCTCGTCTTCTTGTGAGTGTTTGTGGTTATGGGGTGTTCCCGCCCAGTCAGCCAAAGCAGCACCAGGTGCAGAGGGAATGAAGAGAACCCAAGATAAAAGCTGGGACTTCGCATTCTTGTATTATTGGTTTATGGCTTGTGGGCAGGTGACTGAGGCCAGGAACTCTATACGTCCTCCTTGTAGTTCCCTCTCCCTCATCAGGTAATCCCACACTAGGCAGGGCCCATACCTGGAAGCAGTGGGTGTATCAGAACAATTCAGCTCTTCCCAGTAACACTGCTTGTTAGTCTAATGTGGTAGAACTAATTGGGAGGAAATGCACCTGGTCTCCACATGTAGCCCAAGAACCAGCCTGGGTACCCAAGAACTACTTGGAGTGGGATAGGGATAAAGAACGAGGGGCTCTTATGGTGCCGGAAACTAGGAAGCCCTGTGGCTGCCATCCTTTTCCAGGCAGCCTTGATACTGAAGATGCTGTTGCTAGAGCCGGAAACTCCCATGTTTCTTGCCCTCTTGGTATAATACTAGTGCCAGTGTGGAATGCCTTAACCAGATAAGTGGAGGGACATTAGACAGGGTGAAAAGGCAATGAAACAGATCTTCTTTAGATAAAAGATCTTAACCACTTACAGCTGACTAGGAAGAAATCCAGGTGTAGGGCATCAACCCTATGCCTGCAGAATGACTTCAGGATTCTGCTTTCAAGGACTTAAGTAGGTGTTTTAAGTATTCCTCTTAGCACCCAGGCTGCGAAGCTCCAGAGGAATAGGGCTTTTGGGAGAGGGAGTAAAGCAACACTGTTATATTCCAATTGCTCTCCACGGTCACCTGGGGCTTAGGAAGTTGGAATAATTCAATGCCACCTATTATATGTAGAAGAAAGGGTTTAGGTAAAGATGAGTAGGATTAGTAAGGTAGAAATTCACTTGTTGGATGAATCTTTTTAGTGGGCACTTTTCATTTAAGAGCTAAAAAGTGCTCTTTGGCTATATCAGCCCTCTATCTTTTGGTCAGGCTGCAACCACAGAAAAGAAAACACTGGGACACCACACTCATCTTAATGAGATACTGTCTAAAATTGGAACTAGTGAGTGGTGGTTTCTGCCTTTCCTAGCTTTGATTGCAACAGTTCCCTGTCTTTGCAGTCCCTCTCTGTCTCTTCTTACCGACATCTCCAGATTTGTACAAATATTTAAACTAATTATTTCTGTTGAATTCAAGAGGCAATCTTTGCACCAATGTTAGGCTTGTTTCTAAAGCCTCTAAAGCACACAGCAAACTGTGTCTTCTACTGACCTTGGCCAGCAAGGACACACGATTGGCCCTTTCACTGCCAGGGTACCACAGAAACACACACTGGGTCAACCTGGAAGTGAAGCCAGTACCTGGAACTAAGAAAAGAAGATTCTAAAGGGATGGTGGGCAAAGAATTCAGGATAAAGTTTCAAGCAGCATTATTTCCCAACTCAAGTTTGAGGTGACCAAGAGTATCCCCGCCATCAGAGCACTTCTTTCTTCCCTCTCCTGTTTCACGGGGTGCAATTCCCATAACCCACCTTGCCAGCTTGTCCTTTTCTGTCAAGGCAGAGGCATTTGGTGGGTGGATGAGGGTCCTGAGGTGCTCTGGCCACACGTGTCATCGGTGTCTCCTACTTGTGACCAAGTTGAACCACCCAGATGTGGTCCCGGGGAATGTTCATCGTGTGCCCGTGGACCCTTCACTTCAGCAGGGAGATGTCATCAGCAAAGTCATCATGCTGATGGCGAAGGCAGCGGAGGCAACGCCACTGACATACCATGAGGCAGAGTGGCAGCATGAAGAGGGCGCAGATGGCAGCCATGACGTAGGCTATGGTCATGAGGGTTGATTCGTCCGTCTGTGGGATGTTGTAGCCACAGTCTTCCATGTCTGGCATGACAAACGGACCTTCCACAGCTGCCGTCCTAAACTCGTCGTGCACTGGGAAAAGGGCAAATGTGAGTGGCAGGGTTCACTGTCAGAGAGCAGTCTGGGTTATGTGAGTGCAAGGGGCACCAGCTTGTAGTGAGATCCTGAAATAAGCACCTGCAGAATCTCCTCCCTCAGAGATGTTTAGGAACAGGACAAAAAGCCTATGCCAGGCAGAGGCTTGTCTCCTCTCCTCGGTCACAGGGAACACAACCCTTTCCTGTATGCCTGTCTAACAGGAATGAGACCTAAAGGTCTGTACTTTGGAGCAGACTACCAAAAAACAGCCCCTAGTATGCCCCTAGTAAACTTCGTCTGCCACTGCTGTAAGCCAACCACAAGACCCACCTGCCCACTTGCTGAGCACTCCCAATCATACAGACTCAGCCTGCTGCCCTTAGATCGAGAGCTCCCCAGGCAGCTGTTCATCCCGAGCTAGGCTGGGGTCATGGAAGTGGACAAGAACTGGCACTGGCTTTTGCACAATATGTTGTCTTTGGCTGTAGGCAACTCTTACTACCTCCCATACTGGCAGGGTCCCAGGTGTCCTAAGTGCCGGATAGGGAGAACACGGTAGACTTGCCCCACACCCGCATTCCTGGCTCTCACCATGGCAAGCGCTGACAGCAAAACCAACGCGTTTCCGGGCCCGATCAAACACAACGTAGAAGCCCTCCATGATGACAGCTCCCATGACGGTGCCCGTGGACGACTGCGAGATGGCAAACTTGTAGCAGTCGTCCTGGGAGGTGGCCACATCTTCCACTGGCCGGAGGTATTGCTGGGGGAAAAGCAGTCACAGGTGAGAGCAGGGCTTCCTCGCTCCACCCTCTATCCCATCTCTACCTTTTAGGTAGTTTGGCACTTATGTAAGTCTTCCCTTGTCATCTCTGAGTTGTGCAGAATTGGGTTTTCTTGTATATTAGGACCTTCACCTGTTTGTCTATTAGTTCTCAGAAGTCATGCCTGCTCAATATCCCCCCCAATATGTACTTTTTCCTTTTCCTGGAATGTTTCAAGGTGGGAACATACCTGTGGAAGAATAGTGATGCGGAAGGACTGATTGGTGACCTCGCCCATTAGGTAGAGTGAGATGACTGGGAAAATGTTCCAAGGGGTAGTGCCTGCTTGCCAGCACACCAGCTGTTCCCCTAACCAGAAACCGTCTGGGAACTTCTCCGTCTGTATTGGCAAGAAGGGGATAAACATGAGGACAGAACCTCTTTCACCATTGCTGGTTTCCAGATAACTGACTGGGCCCTTTGTTTGCTCCTCCTGTGGAATGGCCTAATTGAACACCAATAGACTGCAACCCAAGGATTAGAGTAAGAGATTGGGAGACTGAGCTAGCTAGACAGAGACAGAAAATAAATATGCCTGGTCTTGTGTGTCAGGGGGACTGTGTGGTGAGCAAACTAAGGCCTATAAAGTAGAGACAAGAGAACAGTTTTCAGGAGACCTAAGTGGAAACTCTAAAGGTAGACATCATGGAGAAATGTGATTTTCACTGACTTCCTCTGGCACTTCCTTGCTGCATCATCTTTTGTACCCTTGCCCTTAGTCCCACTGACCGAGGAGGCTGCCTTTATGGATTTGACTGCAGCTTCAAACACTTTCTTGGGCAAACGGAGGTTGGTGGTGCCGCTGTCCACGATACTCTTGTCGTAGTTGTACTGGGAGGGAGAAGAGGGGGTTAGAATAGTCAAAAGCCTTTGTTGTTGGTTGTTGTTATTGTTAATAAGTGCTGTTGAGTCAGTTCTAACCCATAGTGAATCTGTAGACATCAAACTGACTTTGCAGTCCAGTGCATTAACCCACAGCGCCACACCAGGACTTTTGTTGGTAGGTTCTGGCTAAGCTGGAGGTTAGCTTTGGGGTTCTTGCCTAGTTTGGAATCCTGTCTCTGCCACGTCTTAGTTTTATACCCTTAGACAAATTATTTGACCTTTGTGCCTCAGTTTCTTCATCTGTAAAATGGGGGTGATAGTTCCTACCTCAAAAGGTTATTATAAGGATTAAGTGAATTAGTACATTTAAAACACTTTAAATAACACCTGGCACATAGGAAAATCAATAAAAACCAAACTCACTGTCATGGAGTCTAGTTAGATAACAATCTAACTCATTAGATAAAGAAGACCCAGCTAGAGTGTTTGGCTACCATTTACTGAGCACCTGCCATGTGCCAGGGACTTGGACAGACTTCTTAAATGTTATCTCTGGTCTTTTCCACCATCTTTGGGCTAGCTGTTTTTTTAACCTCTGTTTTGCAAATGAGGAAACTGAAATGCAAAAGATTAGTAACTTGCCTGAGAAGAGTATACAACTAGCAAATAGCAGGGTGAGAGTTAGAGCTAGGTCTTTCTGACCCAAAGCCCCTCTCTTCTACTATGTAATATCACACAGCCTCACAGTGATTTGCTCACAGTTGGAGAGCAAGGCAGTGACTAGAATCCAGTGATGGTCACTAAATTCCACGCTCGCTCTTCATTACAGACCCCTGTGTGCATGCTCAGCTCCCAGTCCTTCTCTCAGGTTCTGCCCCTGTTCCTCGTTCTCCCCGTCTCCTAACCCAGAGTTTTGGCCTCACACTGTGTTGTTTCTCCCTGAGTGCCCTCTGGTTTTGTTACCTCCTTGCAGTCCATTTTCAGATCCTGTCCATTGATCTCCACGCGCACAATGATCACCTCATAATACCACTCACGCCGGATAGGAGTGTACCAGAGACTGCCTGTGTACAGTGAGTGGTCGATACCCCCGATGATCTAGGAAGAAACCGAGGCAGGCACCCACATCATGGCACATAAGAAAGCAAACACTAGGTTAGTGATACCTTGGGATGGCAAGGCTGTCTACAGATAACCCTCTTCATATTCCTACTTCCATTCATGTCCCAAAGCAACTTAGAGTTTATTCAGTGTGTTCAAGGGAAAAGACTTGTTCAAGGGAAAAGACTTGCCAAGATCTTTCATTGTTTTGGAATCATACAACCCTTTAGATACAAAGTTATTTAAACTTAAACTGACACAATAAATGTTGATTGAATGATTCTTTGAATTTATGGTAAAGTATTACTTTCTCTGCTTGTTGGAGATGGAGAACCATTCACCATTGTTGTAATTAATAAATAGACTTAACCTCCTTATATCTCTGCCTTCTAATCATCAGACTGAATATCTTAATTTGATAGACTTTATTTTCATTTCCTTTTAATCATGTCTGATTCTCTCCAAATTTACCATCGGTTTCTCAGCTCCTTTCTGGAATAATGCAAAGAAGAAACGGATGGAAAAAGAAAAAGTGAGGGGTGGGGAAGACAAAAGTGGAACCCAAACTGCTGCAGCCATTGAGGAAGGGGAGGAGTCAGTCCCCAGTCCCCTCTGAGCACCTACTCACCATGCTCCCTCCAACTGAGGCCAGCACCTCTGACTGGTTGAGGGGGAAACCAGCCCCACAGAGCTGCAGAGAGAAGAGGTTGGGAACGTGGGTCTGCTTAACCAAGGAGTCAAAGAAGGGCTCCAGGGAGTCGTCGGGCTGTGCCAGAAAGAGACAAAGAGTGAATACCTCATACAGGACCCTAATGGAGAGAGGCCAGCTCCCTGCCTAAACTGGAAGGCAAAAGCTAACATTAAATACCGAGATTTGGTAGGTAGGATTAGTAAGAGACATGGGCGGTGGAAACAGAGTACTGAATCGGATAGAGTTCTATAGCATCTTTGATCCCTTGCACCTTACCGGTGTAGTCCTCTGAGGCCTCCTTAGTAAAGATTTTAGAATTCATAGGGACCACAGTCTATTTTTGTACCCTATCACAACTTTTCTCACCATGGGTCTGGTCTCTGCTGGGATGAAATTCAGACCACCACCCTATCTCCCAGTTCAATCATCTTTCTTTACATTGATTTGTTTTTCTCTCTTAGTTTTGTCCCCTTCTGTCTCCCACCCCCTTCCCTATAGCTTGCAGTATGCAAATGGCATGTGTAGGGCCCCATCTGCCCTTCTTACCCTGGCAATCTCTGCATAAGCCAGCCCCAGGATGCCCTCCCAGTTGGAGCCATTGATGAAGAACTTGTCTGATTCAGTGATGGCAGCAATGTTGGCACGCACGGTAACGTTGGGGCCGTGGGGGATGCTCACCAGGTCGGTGCCCAGCTCCCCCTCCCATTTGCCCTGGGTATAGGGCACATACACACCCTTCCGGAGGTCCCGATATGTGCTGGACCTGTGGATACAACACCAGAACCACTGGTACTGGGATCCAGCACCAAATGTACATCCACATGCCTAGCCTTAGCTCAGTAGCATCCTAAACTAGTCTGCCTGTCAGGTGCTCCCCAGAACATCCCTGGATGGATCACCTAGAACAAAGTGGTAAAGTGACCGTGCAAATAGGTGAGGGGAGCTGCTGCTGGGGTTTCACCTCTTGCTTCCAAAGCTCATACTCCCTGCTCTTGAGCTCAGGCCCTGTAAGGAACAAGCCTAGCTTTGTGTATTGTGCCTGTTACTGCTGAAGGGACAGATAGTGAGCATCTCTCTCTCTCCCCAACCCCCCCTCTCCCCCAGTGCCATCAGGCTCCCAGAGAAAAGGAGCCATTGAATCCCTAGCTGCCTTGGGACCTGGTGGTGCCATCCTAGTGGTAGAGAAAAGCAGGGGAATGTGGGACCTCTATAGCAAGTTCTTCCCGAGAAGAGATTTGCACATGCATCTCAGCAGATAGCTGCTGCAAACTCTTTGTGGGAAACATGCTCATAAACATGACAACATGACACCACCACCTGTGTTTTGTTTACGCACACCACCAGCACACACGTGCGTGTGCGTGCACACACAGTGGGGTGGGGGGCTACAAAGGAACTGGAATTAATTCCCTTTGATTCCCTCCATGCCTCATTTCGTGACTGCTTTTTTCAGACCAAGAAGTAAAATGGAAGAGGCTAAAAAAGACAAGAAATAGTCAAGGTGGCTTTTGCACCTGCCTAGAAGTGCAAGAATGGGACTTAAGCCTCTACTCACATTTCCACACACAGAAATGTCTCAGACATTCAGATGTCTTCTTTCCATTTCCTTATGCTAAGGGGGTTCTTAGATCATCCTTCACTGCCTCTCTGACCTTCAAAACCCACAACAACCCTCCATTCCACCAGTAAGCTGAATCCAGCTGGTGAGACTGTGGGAGACGCCAAGAGGAGATTATTTTAGCTTTTGGTCCCTGGTACCGGTCCAGGCAGTAAGGTTTGTGAAAGGCTCTTGAGCTATGTAAAAGCCCCCAAGAGCAGTTCCTGGCCATAGGACTGAGAACACAGCAATGGGGGCTGTCATTACAGTCTGTTCAGCCTAAACTTAGTATTGCCAGGAAAACTGAACCATCGAGGAGTGTGGGAGGAAGTCCCCTCTCTCCCCATTCAGGCAGAGGGAATGATGGTTGGGGAAGACCTAAGAGGTTGCTTTGTAAGCTGTGCTGCTTTGTCTCCATTCTGAAGCCCTCCTTGGCTGCCTCTGAACTTGCCCTTCCCCATGGTATACCTCCCTTCTCTGCTGGTCACTGTCCCCTTCTTTCCCACTACTTTATCTAGCAGGAAGAAACCATCTGAGGAACTAGTCTTTCTCCTTGCACCCCTCCCCAGATCCTTCTCAGTACTGGATCCTTGAGAAGGGTTCTTTCCCCAGCGGCCCCCAGAACTCACAGCTGCCTCTGGTAGTAGCGATGCAGGAAGGGGTGGGGAGCAGCTCCCACTGCAAAGTTACTGCTGCCTGTGTCCACCAGGATGTTGAGCTGTCAGAGAAAGGAGAGCAGAAATATTTTGAACAGGAGGCAAAACTCACCACCTTTATCATCACCCCAATAGCCACCCAGTCTCTCCTTAGAATGTCAACAGTGAAGCTTCCACGATGGAGGACTGGACAGACCACACTTGATAATACTATGACCACAGAGAAACCTGTGGAGATACACGGTGTCCTCCAAATGACCTCAGAAACCTGTCTGTAGCATCAGCATTTTCTATGTCATCTGAGCCATAGTACCTGTGTGTTTGTGTGTTTGTCTTCATTCCTGTTCCTCACCAGATTGTCCTTTGCTCACCCTGGAGACCTGACTGATTTTCTGTTTCAGAACCTGTCCTGCCCCCTCCTTTTCTGCTCTCTCAGGAAGCATGTCCCTCAGAGAAAAGCTATTCTAGGAGCAGGTATTGCTGAGGGGAGCTATAGGGACTAGGATGGCACGGCGGTGCTACCTGTCTCTTTGACCCTGCTGCCAGACGGTGGCTCCCTGTGGAGAGCTCCCCTTCTGTCTCAGAGGTGACATAGGCCCATGCCTCCCACTGTTGGACAGAGTTGGGAGCCAGAAGCCCAATATGCTGGCCTAGTGAAAACCTGCCTAGTCAGGGCCCTACTTTTTGGCAGAGTGAACACGGGCAGGTGTCTTCTCTCCGTTCTCACTATGCAGCTCCTCCCAGCATCTCCTCGACTTTGTCCTTCTGTTGGCATTACCCCTCCGACCCCTCTTTCAGCCCGAAGCCAGGTTTTGGACACCTGCTATGTCCTCATAGGTAAAAAAGGGCACAGGCTCTTGTCTAAAGAAAAAAAATGGTCATTTGTAAATGGAACCCCCTCTCTAGACATGTCCGTCTTCTCAGCATCTCCCTGGATCCTTCATTTCTGGGTTCTTTCTCCTCAGTGTGAGAGAACTGACCTTGGCTTTTTGGTCGGGCTCTGCCATGGTCACCTTGAGCAGGTCACTGTGCTTCTCTGGGCTTCAGTCTCCTGTCTCTGATAGATCATCCTCTCTGTGGCTCCTTTGGGCTCTCCGTGGTGCCTCATTGGCTTTGATGGCTGCCTCCACCGTAGCTCCCCATTAGTCTTCTTGGCCGCCCCCAGATCCCCAAAGACCAAAGACTCCTTTCTACTCTCTCTCCAATCCTTTGGTCCTGCCTTCTCCCTTCTTTCCAGCCCCACCACACACACACACACACTCCTGGCCTGCTTCCCATTTCCCTCACTGCCCCTCCCTTTCTTACTTCTACCCTCTCCCTGGTCTCTGAGCAGCCACCACTCCAGATGCTGTGCTTTCAGAGAAAATCAATAGAGCTGGGAGGCTCAGCAGTTCAGATTTCAATCAACCAGGTTAATGATTACAAAGGCGTCTTCACCCACCTACACCCCAGGGCCCCTCCCCCCATCTTTCCAGCTCCCAGATCTGGGGGTTGGCCTCATTTACAGGGTTCCCCACAGCACTGGTCTCTGTGGCCTATGAAAGGGAGGGACTACATGCCTGCTCTAGGAATACACAGAGCTTCTATCTACGGCCCCTGCTTCCCCTCTCCTTTCCTGCAGGTGGGAGGCTCTCTCTGCAGGCCGCTCTCAACTCTTGTTACCTTTCCAGACTCAACCTTTCTCCATCTGAAGGTCTCCCCACTCCACCCCAGAAGGGGCCTACCCCCATAGGGGATGACTACTACCATCTCCCACTCACCACCCTCCATGGGAATAAAAAAAAGGAAGCCAAAGTAGAGAGTTTAGACAGTTGAGATTTTTCCTGAGCAAATGTCTGCCTGTTTGCCCTCTGCTTTGAGAGGGGTAATTTCCCGTCCTGTCCTCCCACCGTTTGAATCCAAGCCCCAACTATGTGGGGTGTTCTGACTCAGCAGGAACCCCACCCCACCCACCCTACCTAGAACACTGTCTGTCCTTCAGGCTTCTGTTGAGGCCTTTTACAAGGAAGGAGCCTTAGGCAAAACACTTCCAGCACTCACTCAGAGACAAGGCAGTTAAGGGCAGCCTGAACAGGAGAGTAAGTGGTGAAGGGGTGGAGAGCAACCCAAAACTTCAGCAGAGGACCCCACCTCTTTCTTCACAGAGAAACTGGAGGTCCTGAGATAGCACCTCCCTCATCTTCCGCATCTATGGCTACAGCAGCCAATCCCTCCTTATAATGCAGGAGCCAACTTTTACCCCGGCTTTGGAGTTTGTTTCCTTTCCCCTTCTCAGGCATCTTACTCTATTAGTTACCCCTTTTCTCAGGTAGATTCAACCACCACTACTCCCTACCCCTTGGTCTGGATTTTTCTTCTTGGCACTGACAAATGCTTGCATCTCATCAATAAAAGAATAACACCACCATCTTCCTCAGTCTCACATCTGCCTCCAGCCTCCTTTCTCCTCCCCCTTCACAACCAAAGCTCTCAGCCAAGCTGTCTTCATTTCTTCACCTCCCACTCTGAAACCCATTCTAAAACTGGGCTCTGCCTCTATCTCTTCACTATGAAACAGCCCTTATTCTAGTTACCAATGCTTTTGTGTTATCAAATGAGCCCACGTATTGCTTAATTTCTCAGGAGCATCAATACTTGGTGACCTCTCCTACCTTGAAATGCTCTTCTCTGTCACGTATCTTGTGCTTTCCTTGCTAGCTCTCTGACCATGCCTTCTCTGTTGGCTTTGCAAGCTCACTTCTTGAAGCCTGGACTTTGGCTCTCTTCCTTGCAGGCTATACCCTCTTCCTAAGTAATATCATCTTTGCCCTCCGGCTTCTCTGATCACATACATACTGATGACTCCTACACTCACATTGTTGTTGTTAGTTCCCATCGAGCTGGCTAGAACTCATGGTAACTTCATGTACAACATAATGAAACAGTGCCCAATCCTGTACCAGCTTCATAATCGTTGGTCGGCTTGAGACGATTGTTGTGATCACTGTGTATTTTGAGTAGCATCCAACCAAGGGAGGCTCAGCTTCCAGGGCTGTGGTGGACAGTATTCTGTTGTGATTGGTTTTCATTGGCTAATTTTTGGAAGTAGATCACAAGGCCTTTCTTCTTAGTCCATCTCAGTCTGGAAGTTCTGCTGGTACTTGAAATACTGGTAGTATAGCTTCCAGCCACCACAGTATGATAAAGGGACTGCTGGGTGGTGAGCTAAACTTACAGCTCTAGCCTAGTCCTTCCTTTGAGTTCCAGATGCACATAGTGAAAGGCCTTGAAGATACCTCATCTTCCATATGCCCAGAGCTGACATTATGTTGTCCTTCATCTTGATCTTTCTACGGGGGCTCTTCATGGTCCAGCCCTGCCTAGAGATCTAGCCTAAGCTGATCCTAAACTCCCACAGCACTCTGTCCACCAGCCAAACTGGCCTCATTTCAACTCCTCAGACCAGCCATGGTCCTCCCTCCAAAGGCAGTTGCAGGATTTGCTTCTCACTCTGCTTATACCATCCTCCTTTCTACTTGCAGTTGTGTCTCTATCTACTATTCACCCTGTGAAATGTAAGAGAAGGTGCCGTATCTTTTTTAACTCTCCACAGTGTGGCTGACAATATGTATTTCCTGAATGAACAGCTAAAGAAAAGGGAGAAAGCCCTAATCTACCCTGGTTTTTGGGGTGGTTTGTGAGGTAAGAGATTCTATTCTGTGAACAGTTCTAGGCTAAGTTATTTCTAGGCTATTGGAGTGCCTTGAGTTCAGACCTGCCCCCCTTGCTTAATAGAGTCCTGTGGTCTATGTCTTTATGCAGCTTGTGGTATTGGAGACATCTTACTTCTTTCTCTGTCCCTTGGTGACCAGACAGATCCTGGAGTCTCCTTGGTTATTGCCTTTAGATGTCCTGGGGGCTGCAGACTGGGGTCAGGGCTAGGTCAGTACCAATCACTTAACAAACAAATGTGTCCCTGGGGGACATCTGAGGAAGGCAGCTTCTAGGGAAGTGTTAACAAGCCCCACAGGGAAAGGCACACTTGCAGAGGGTTCTTACATACAAGGTGAAGCTTCCCTAGAGGAGTTTTAAGCAGCAATTCTTGGGCAATGAGACAGTTTTGGAGTTGGCAAGTTTAGGGTGAGCTCTTTGTTCCTCAAATCCCACTTGTCTTGGCCCCAGCTTCCTCTCAGCAGGATCTCTCAGATTCTTATAGATAGAAGGAGCCTTCAGGAGCAACCTGTCTGTTCTCCACACTTCTACAGATGCGGGCTCTACCACTCTGACAGGTGTCCACAACTTTTTTGGTAGCCCATCCCAATGTTTTACTATTTTTAAAAAACTCTAGGGGTGTCTCAAGTTCCTGAGTGGTACAAATGGTTTGCACCTGACAACTAATCAAAATGTTAGTGATTCACACTGGCAGATAAGACCCACCTGACCTGGCTTCAATGATTGGCTGATCAGAGCTCAACCAGAAGAAGAAAGAAGAGGAAAAAAAGAGTAATATGATACAATTTAATGAATCTGACCTACACCTATGGATGCAGAAGCTCAAAATAGGAAAATCCTTACAGCAAGGATCATTCCCACCCCCTCCATACACAGTAGACAGGGATGGGCAACTTGGGCATTGGCTACCCAAAATGGGGGGCTACAAAGGCAAGAAGTGACTGGCTTACAAGCTTTCAAGAGGGAGCCTAGATTCAGAGGGCACGGAGGAAGGTAGAATCTCCACTGAGTAGTATCCAATCTGTCTAGGCGGGGTTGATGAAAGGAAATGCGGATGGGTCTCTTGTGATACAATAGTGAATAATTGTTATCAGGTCTCCTTGTAAGGGTTGGAAATGTAAAGGTAACACTTTTGTAGCAAGGAGAAGAGTGATTAACTTTTCAGCCTAGGAGTGGAGGTCCCTGGGACCATCAAGGGAGAAGAGTGGGGTGCAGGACCCTACCCAGAGAAGCAGTGATGCCTGAAATGGAACCAGAGATGATAACGTAGAGAGATGGAGCAGTTGGGCACTTTAGACACAGAGAGGAAGAGGGGCTGTGTGCTGATGGTGGGGGGGTGGGGGTGGGCAAG